GCACTCCAGATTGGATATAAAGGAATGACCAAATTCCAAGACTCTGTTACTATAATACTGGTCCACAGGTTTCTATAAAATTAAACAAATTTTTATTTGTAGGCTGACCTACTAACTTAACCTCTGCACTTGTTTCTATGAAAGACTATCTCTAGTCCTAAGCTATTGCAGGACCTGTTTATACTGTACTGTATTTTTAAGTATAGAAAGGTTTTAGTCCAGACACCTTAATTTGAATGCTAGTGACTAACAGTGAAGGTATACGACCTACAATAGGTCCTTAGCCTCTTTAAGTTTCAGTTTCATCATCCAGAAAGGTAAAAAAAAGCCACTATGAAATTAGTTTAATGCTATGCTGAAACTCCTAGCACTAAGTCAGTCCGTGTTTCCCACACCATTTCCCTCTTTTAATACATGTCTTTATACTACAAACTCCTTGAAGGTTGTTCACAGTTGTGTTGTGCTTACTGAATTACCATAAAGTGCTTTACACTGGTAAGAGTTACATATTACGCTCCAAACTATTATGAATATGAAAAAGAAATACATCCATGAATTGTTCTGAAGCATTATACAGTTATTGCTTTAGTAATCAAAATCCAATTATAATATTACAGTATACCGAACAATTTAAAATATTAAATATATAGTATTATACTCTAACATTCTTGTGGCAATTATACTACATTCCCTGTCTTTATATTTTGGATTGTGATACCTCTATAAAAAACAGATTTTTTTCTCACTTGCAACCTTAAAAAGCTACTTCATATAAGAATTCTACTGTGCGTTAGTTTGAAATTCTTAGCGCATTAGATCCAGCTATTGCAGGTATTGAAATAAAACTTCGTTAGTCAAATCAAACATTGTTCTATTTGCATATCTAAGAAAAAGTTCAATTTTCACAACTTAAAATTTTAAGTCAAGAAAAAAAGCATGAAAATATAACCTCGAAACTTACATATTATTTTATTATCCTGCAATGAATTTTGATCCCCAACCCTACCACATAAAACAATGATCTTTAAATAATCAGAACAAAGTTTCTCACTATTCAGAAAGCGCTGTTTTAAGATTTACTTGGCACTTTAAATTAACCATCTTAAACCTTTGAATCACAAAGGAATAGTCAATGACATCCATTTTAAGCTACCATGACCTGTCATTACAGAGTCATTAAGTGGTATTTCAAAGGAGTAAGCAGAAAGCTTTATAACTTTCAAACACGTTAGATTATTTTCTGTACTTTATGGGCTAAGTTATTTGAATATTTAAAGTTACATTTCATAAATTATAAAATTCACTGATAATTTTCACATTCTTCCTAAAGATAAATAGCATGAATTAAGTTTTAAAAGCAATATAGAAACTCAATCAAATTCAAACTCTGTGTACATGTATTTGCACATATAATAAGATTATTTAGAGGCAAGATAGCTTAAGTTACACAGAAAAACTTTCCTCAGAAAAAATTAAGTATTAAATATTTAAGATAAATAATTAATTTTCAAATATTACTTTCAAATGTTAACATTTTTTGGCCAAATAGACTCAAGAGTAATATGCATTCTCTATATTATATAGCCTGTTACCTAACTATAAACTTTTATTAAAAAATAATTTCAAAAAGTGTATACAGTAAACTGCTCATCCGACTCGTATATGCACAACTCTTACTCCAGTCAGGTCCTCTGTTCTCATTAGTACTATTAACTGTTTCCATGCACCTCTGCGGGGAAGATTAGAAGTACACAACGCCATGAAAGAAGAAAAAAGGGAAGGAAAGCGAGCACACACAACTCTGCCATGACATACTTCATACTTATCTACAATATGTACAAAGCTTTAAAATAATTAAGATAGGAAAGCTAATTAGCCTTTTATGTTTCCCACATCATCTCTTCTTAGCACAGTGAGTTCATTATTTCCTAGAATATTGTAAATTCCCAGAAAAACATAAAATTCAAAGAACCTAAAAACTGCGATGGAATTTAGAAGTTGCCCTTCCAGCCAGCCCAATTCAAAGATGTGAAGACTGAGCTCCAGAGCTTTCAAGAGGTTAAGACCACTGTCCAGCTCTTCTGACTCTTCTCCACTTGGATGTTCTTTTCCTTACCGCTCACACTGATCCAATCAAACACCAAAATATTATCTAAAGATAATTCTTTTTTGGCAATCTACCATTTGAACAACAACCAACATTAATTCAGGAGAGAAATAATTTGAAAGTTAAATGGACCTCACTTGAGAACGAAAGTAGAATCAACTCAAGTTCTTTAGGTCTCCCTTCTTGCTAAGGAAGCTTCCAAGAAACACAGGGTTAGGAATAAGCAAAAGGTTGTTGTGTCTTTTACTAGCCTATCTTCCCTTTTCCCATGTGAATAAAATCCACTCTGCTTACTATATCACCTCCTTTTCTTATCATTTGATGAATAAACTTTCTTCACCTAAGGAAAAAACCAACAATGAAAAATATTCACCAATAATAATCGCTTCCCTACTTCAGACTCCTATCCTTTCTTCTACTCCAAACATTCTAAATATAGTTCATGTTCCTGCTGTTTCTCATCTTGCTGTCTTTGCAGACTATAAGTTCCAAAGGCATGTTTCTGTTGTTTTAGTATGTGGTGTATGGAATTAGTAATTCTTCTGACTACTTTCAAGATTAAAATGAGATTCAGACAGGGTAATATATGTGAAAGCACTTGGCAAACTATAAAGTTTAAAAGTACTGTCCTATTAGAATGACAAGGCATTCTTAATTGCTCATAACAACACAATTAAGTAAAGTTTCTAGGAAATTACAACCTATATTAGGGATTGAACTAATCTCAAAAGAAATTAGTCTTTTGATATAAAACCCAGAAAGGAAAAGCAGTAGCATCTACCAATTCAACAAGTCATATATTTGTCAATGGTTATTTTACATGAAAGAAGTTTAATGAGTGACATGTTTCTATAACATGCTCAATTTCATAACCTAAGTTATTTATTGTTACTTTTAGACAATTATTGGCTGTCTGTTAATACTAAACGATTAAAACCACTAGTTTAAAAATGTCTTGAGTAAAGTAAAATTACAGCTTTCTTAATATTGTCCTCATTTTTCTGAGAGACTTACTTAAGCATGACACTCAAATAAGATTCTAATTTGTTTAAGTCAATATAAAAGGAAATCTAATCAAAATGGCTAGTAAAACAAAAAAGAAAACTCAGCTCTCTAAGAGCTTAGTTCTAAATAAAACATACATATTAAGCCCACACAGAATAAATTTTGTACTGTCAAACATGCATCTAAAAAGATACACATTCACAGAAATTAAAATATTACTAAGAATTGTTGTTACTCCTATTCTTGTAAGAAACAGCAAGGCTTAATGTACAGTAGTTAAACTTACATTGAATAAAAATAAATGAACCTATCTTTCTTCAGAAATATCAATACTACATCCAAAAAAAGAAGCATCGCTTTTCATTGCAATAAAAATTTACTTTAATTCAAGATGAAAATAATGACTAGAAATAATACTTGGTGACTCTGCACATTACTCGTGCTTTTATTTTTTAGGTCATCTAGTAATGTATAACACAATCTCCAAATAAAAGATGTAAGAAAAATATCCAAAGAAGGACCACATCATAAAATTACTCCATTGCTGTATCTTACTTCTGCTCTAACATCCAAAAGCAAGCATTCTTAATACCTACAATCCTTGAAATATTATGTAAATATCATTCTTAAAAAAAAAAATGTTAAAGCCACACAAGTAATTATAATTTAGTGGAATATGGCATGATCTTAAAAATGCCACTTAGTAAAATACCTTATGGGCCTGATAGAATAAAGGTACCTTTAGCTATGAATCTGCTGTTATTAATAAACTATTGACATCTCAACCAAATCTTGTATTTAAGCATTCCCTTTCAAGCTTCCATTCCTTAAAATTAAGCAAAAAATTTTAAAACAACAGAAACAAGCTCTTAAGTAAACAAGTTTCTAATTTAAAAGGAAGATAAAGCCACCTTTATTTTCCCTTGGGGGATAAAAAAAATTTTCC